ATACTTCAATATTTTGTCCTGAGTAGTCAACTGTTGCTTACTGGTGGCTTAGTGGAGATGAAGTTCTGTGCATGCAAACAGAAAACCTTCAGGGGTTCAAATTCTGTTTGAACACTGATTAAAAATATGTAGGCTCTAAAACTCTCTTCTGTCCATCTTGTAACATTGAGCAAGAACAAGGATAAGACAGGAAACAATTATAAATTGCAAATCAGAGCCTGAAAGAAAAAAATTCTCTACATGGATGACAAATGTTTATAGCACCACAGTGATAAAATTCCAGCCTGTTTTCCAATTTTAATTTACTTATTAACTAGAAACTTCACCAGAAAAACATCAGCCTTATGAATCATTTGCAAACCATGAACTTAGAAGTGAACTTGCTGGGTCTGAGAGAAAAGGAATAGTCATAATAACTATAACTGCAGGATTTGCAAAGCTCAGTTTAAGTAACGTTAGTGTTGTGGATCACCTTAGGGCAATGAACATAAAGGCTTGCCTCCATGAACAGGTTAATAAAGGTTTATGTCAGTTCTTGTGAGCCCTGTGTTAGTGCTTGTCAGATTATGTCACAAACGCAATGTTACCTAGCTCCAGTTTCTATATTTAATCTCATTCCTTAAAACATAAATAAAACTACCATAGAAGTAAGTTGTTGTTGTTAGGTGCCGTCCAGTCAATTCTGACTCATAGTGATCCCATGCACAAAAAAACAAAATACTGCCCGGTCCTGCACCATCCTCACAATTCTTGTTATGCTTGAACCCATTGTTGCAGCCACTGTGTCAGTCCGTCTCATTGAGGGTCTTCCTCTTTCTCGACAGCCCTCTACTTTACCAAGCATGAAGTGCTTCTCCATGGACAGGTCCCTCCTGATAACATGTCCAAAGTATGTGAGAGGAAGTCTCATAATCCTCACTTCTAAGGAGCATTGTGGATGTACTTCTTCCAAGACAGATTTGTTCATTCTTCTGGCAGTCCATGGTATATCCAATGTTCTTCGTCAATACCATAATTTGAAAGCATCAATTCTTCTTCAGTCTTCCTTATTCACTGTCCAGCTTTCACATGCATACAAGAGACTGAAAACACCATGGCTTGGGTCAGGTGATCCTTAGTCCTTAAAGTGACATCTTTGCTTTTTAACACATTAAATAGGTCTTTTGCAGCAGATTTGCCCAGTGCGATGCATCTTTTAATTTCTTGACTGCTGCTTCCATGGGCGTTGATTGTGGATCCAAGTAAAAGGAAATCCTTGACAACTTCAATAATTTTTTCTGTTTATCATGACATTGCTTATTGGTCCAGTTGTGAGGATTTTTGTTTTCTTTATGTTGAAGTGTAATCCGTATTGATGCCTGTGGTCTTTGATCTTCATCAGTAAGTGCTTCA